GAGACTAAGTGTCTCATTTCCTATCCAAACCAATTCAATTAGACTCTAACTCACCCGTTGCTGATAATAAAACATGAAAGAGCAATAAATGGGGGAAATGGGGCTGTAATACATGAGACGACGGGTTGGGTCGTCACAACCTATATCCAACAATCCCAGGCAGGTAGGGATAGAATCTCCTAGAACTCCCCGGGCTACAGCTACTTCTCCATCAAGGCAGCCTATGACCTCATTTCCCAAAAGGACAACCAGACGGAAGAAAACAACCTTGACTTTAATTGGATCTGGAAAAGCAACACCCTGAACAAACTAAAATACTTCATGTGGCTGCTCACCCTCAACAGACTCCCAACAGCCTCCTTCCTAGCAAAACGCAACATCTGCACATCTGACATCTGCACTATTTGCGGATCAGAAAAGGAGGATATAAAACACATACTCTTCTACTGTGCTCACTCAAAGGAAATCTGGAGGCAATGCCACATAAAACACAACTACCGACCTTCGGATAACAAACTTTCTATTTTCTACTGGCTAAAGCACCAACTAAACTCAAACAAGCGCTATAATCAATACATCACATGACCTGTCTTCCTACCTTTTCTCCTCTGGTACTTATGGACTAAGAGAAATGAAAAGATCTTCCAAAAAAATAGCTCATACCCAAATATTAACAAAGTAATCAATAGCACCCAAGAATTCCTTTTTCTAAGCAACTGGAGTCCTATCCGGATACCAAAAAGAACGATCCTTATTAGATGGCATCCACCAGACATAGGGTTTTTTAAACTACACATAGATGGATCATGCCAAGGTAACCCAGGCAGGGGGGAATAGGCGGAATTTTTAGGGATAGCAATGGAAAATGGATACTGGGATTCAATATGGGATTTGCATGCGCCACAAATATTCAAATGGAAGCCATGTCCCTAGTTCAAGGTCTAAAACTAGCCATCCAAATGAGACTGACTCCTCTAGTCATTGAAACAGACTGCCAAGAACTAATCAACATGATAAATAATGAAAACAGTCTTTATTAAAATATTATTGATGACTGCAGGTCCCTATTATTTGAGGCGGGCACGCCACCTTTGAGGCATGCATTCAGAGAAGCTAATGGAGTAGCGGACACCTTAGCCAAGAATGGATGTAGCTTGGACTCTTTTGCTAACTTAATGTTATATTATTATCCGCCTGTATTTGCTATTTCAGTTTTTGATAGGGATGGGATAGGCACTGCGTGGCCTAGACAAATCTCTTATTGTAATGACTACTAAGTTTATGTTTTAAATAAATGTCTTTATTTACCAAAAAAAAAAGGTTCAGTTGCAAGAAAAATAAAAATAAGAAGTCTTTTATTAAACAGCTAATACAAAAAGAAACAACCGGTGAAAATTTCACAACTAAATGAAGGAATGGGCTAAATTGTGCCTTAAATATTACACCCCACGAAAGCTAAATTGGGCCAACCTGTTTTGATGACTCAACTGGTGAGTAATTTTAAAAAGGAGCAGCAAAGTGCAAGTAATAAATACATACGAGCAATAGAAAACATATCCTGGAGTTTTTTCTTTCTCTCTTAAGTCCTTGAAGTAAACCGGAAACGATTTATAGCAGTCACATTAGATTATGTAAAGAATATAGGTTAACCTTAGTAGTTAACCTTAGTTAGCTTAACTTAACTATAGTATTAGTTAGTATTAGTGGTGTACAACTGTCCTAAGGTGGTTAATTAGTTAAATACACTGTAGCTTCTTCTTCTTTCCAGTTGAGTTAGTTGTATCAAAACACAGAGCACTGCTCTTGACTGTTTTTCTCTCGAAAGTTCTCAATCTCAATTTCTCTATTCAACTGCACAATGCTAAATTCTTCATGGTATCAGAGCATTAATCGAGTGATTCTAGGGAATTTCTTCGCAGAATTGAAGATAATTCGAGAGAATCTGCTCAAATTCAGAAGCTTTGAACCCTAATTTTGAGGTCTATCAATGGCGCCTCCTGAGAACTCGGCTGATAATGCGAACAATGGAGACAATACGAGCATCGGAATGATACCTAGCTCGATTGTGTTAGATCATAACCATCCTCTCTACCTGCATGCATCTGATGGTCTTGGATCGATGTCTGTGGGACTCATTTTGACAGGTATGGAAAATTACTCTCTTTGGAGTCGTGCAATAAAAGTAGCATTATTAGGAAAGAACAAATTGTGTTTAGTTGATGGATCAACATCGAAGGAGGATTTTGGTCCAAATCTAGGAAGTCAGTGGGATAGGTGCAATGCGATTGTGACCTCTTGGTTCATGAGCAATGTGAGCAGAGATTTGGTAACAGGAGTGTTATTTTCTTCGAATGCACAGAAAGTGTGGGCTGCTTTCAAGGAACGTTTTGACATAGTGTATGCATCGAGATTGTATTACTTGCATAAGGAAATATTCACCCTAACACAGGGGATTTCGTCAGTATCAATTTATTTCACCAAGCTAAAAGACCTTTGGGCAGAATATGATTCCATACTGCCACCTCCTACTTCAGCCACTGAGTATATTGACAATTGTAGTATCAACGACTACTGCAATTTTTGATGGGATTGAATGACAATTTTGAGCAAGCAAGGAGCCAGATTCTATTAATGCCAAGCTTGCCATCTATAGATAAGGCTTATGCTATGGTAGTTCAGGAAGAAAGCAGGAAATCATTTACTGGTGGTACCTATGGGCAAACTGGGCATAATGACCCTACTGCGTTGTTTACTGCACAATCTACATGTAAGCCAAGGAGAAACTATAGCTTAGAATGTGATTTTTGTCATATGAAAGGCCATACTAGAAATGAATGTTATAAATTGATGAGGTGTGAATTTTGTAATAAGACAGGGCACTTGAAGGAGAACTGTTACAAGATTATTGGTTATCCATCTGATTTCAAGCAGAAGAAGAGAGCAAATGCAGTCATGATAGATGGATCTGGACAGCAAGGAGTGATAGCTTCACCAACCACAAGCATATATCAGCCAATTGTGGTAATGTAGCCTTATGTGAGAACTTAGAACTTTGCAAATGGATAGTAGATACTGGTGCTACTAACCACATGACTGGTGATAATAGTTTACTGAATAATGAAACTTCAGTAGGAAATTCAGGACAAGTGCAATTACCTACTGGAGATTCAGCATCAATCTTACATATGGGGGAGTGTCAACTCACAGGAGGTGATGTACTGAAAGATGTGTTATGTGTACCTGCTTTTAAGTTTAACCTCATGTCAGTCTCTAAAGTGACAGAAGATCTTAAATGCAGTGCTACTTTTTTCCCCAAATGTTGTGTGTTCCAGGACCTCTTATCTGGGAGGGTGAAGGAGATTGGTAGAAGAGAAGAAGATCTGTACATATTGTCAACAGCTTTAGGGAAGACTGTGAATAGAGCTTTTGCAGCTACCGGTAAAGAAGGAGGCATAGAAATATGTCACAGAAGAACAGGACATATTCCAATTCAAGTTCTCAGAAGGATTCCTAGTATACAACACTATGGTAGTAGAATAAATAATGACTCACTGTCTAAATGTGAAATTTGTCCTCTAGCTAGGCAAACTAGAGCACCTTTTCCAACTAGTACTAATAGAAGTTTACATGCTTTTGATTTGATCCATATGGATGTGTGGGGACCCTATAAGTTTGCTACTCATAATGGCATGAAATACTTTCTTACATTGGTTGATGATTTTACCAGATGGACTTGGGTATTTCTTATGAGACTCAAATCTGATATTATTTTCTTACTCAAGAACTTTATTAGTATGATCAAAACACAGTTTGGGAAGCAAATTAAGATGTTTAGATCAGATAATGGGAGTGAGTTTTTTAACAGTGCATGTAATGACTTGTTTCAAATGCATGGGATTGTTCATCAAAGCTCCTGTCCATATACTCCCCAACAAAATGGAGTTGTGGAAAGGAGACATAGACATATACTGGAGACTGCTCGAGCAATCAGATTTCAAGGCCACTTACCTGTTAGATATTGGGGACATTGTATTGATGTTGTTGTATATATAATCAACAGAATTCCCTCTTCTGTCTTGGGACATAAGTCACCATATGAATTACTTCTGAATAAGCCACCTTCATTGACACATTTAAAGGTAGTTGGATGTTTATGTTTTGCTACTAATCTGACAAGCCATGATAAATTTGCTCCTCGAGCTGTGAGGTCAGTTTTCCTAGGATATGCTGCACATCAGAAAGGTTACAGACTTTTGGATTTGGAGAATAGAGTATTCTTTATAAGCAGAGATGTAGTGTTCTATGAGGATATATTTCTCTTCCACACAGCAGAAGGATCAACAGAATCATTATTTCTGGACAAAATTCCAGTGCCAAGACAAGATTTTGATGAAGAACTGAAAGCAGTCAGTTCTGCTACTGATGCACATATTGAGGGAACCAATATGCCATGCTCTCCTACTCTAACTCCAGTAATCTCAGATGAGCAGGACATTTCATACCCTGTTGAGTATAACAGTGTGGATAGTCCTGGTGATTCTCTTATTTTGCCTGATGATGGGGAACCTAGAAAATCCACAAGAGTAAATAAGCCTCCCATATGGCTTAAGGATTATGTTAGAGATGACAAGAGAAGTTCTACAAGCTGCTGCAAGTACCCTAGTTCAAAGGTGATAGGATATGAAGGTATCTCTCCAAAATATCAAAGCTACTTGGCAAATTTTTCAGTGGAAGTGGAACCTACATCATATTCAGAGGCAGTAAAGGACAAGAGATGGGTAGAGGCAATGCAGGCAGAAATCAAAGCATTGGAGGACAATAAGACATGGGAACTAGTATCCTTACCACAAGGACAAAAGGCAATAGGATGCAAGTGGGTTTATAAGATTAAATACAAGGCATCAGGAGAAATTAAAAGGTTCAAAGCTAGATTGGTGGCCAAAGGGTATAATCAGAGAGAAGGTTTAGACTACCAAGAAACCTTTTCACCTGTGGTGAAAATGGTTACTGTCAGAAGTGTGTTGTCTATTGCAGCTTCAAGGCAGTGGTCTATTCATCAAATGGATGTTTACAATGCTTTCTTGCAAGGAGATCTATCTGAGAAGGTAAATATGGAGGTACCTCAAGGTTTCAATGGACCAAAAGCTGAATTTAGAGTTTGCAAACTACTTAAGTGCCTCTATGGACTTAAGCAGGCATCTAGACAGTGGAATCTCAAGCTCACATCAGCCTTGGTGGATGCTGGATTTCAACAGAGTCATTTGGATTATTCTCTGTTCATCAAAAGATCAGGAGGTCACATGGTGGTAGTTCTGGTCTATGTTGATGACATTCTTATCACTGGAGATAATCCCATCATGATCCAACAGACTAAGGATGATTTATAAACCTCTTTTAAGATCAAAGACCTAGGAGAACTTAAGTACTTCCTGGGGATAGAATTTGCACGAAATAGTGATGGTATATTAATGCATCAACGCAAGTATGCCTTAGAACTCATACCTGAGTTGGGGCACAGGCTCTAAACCTGTTTCATGTCCTATGGAGCCAAATGTGAAACTCACTACTTCTAAATTTGACACTCATATAGGTACTTCTGATGACACATTATTGACTGATCTAGGGCCATATCAAAGGCTTTTGGGTAAGCTTCTTTATTTGACTGTTACGAGACCAGATATCTCTTTTGTTGTTCAAAGTTTGAGCCAATTCATGCATAGTCCCAAGGTCTCTCATATGGAAGTTGCACTCAAGGTGGTTAGATATGTCAAAAGCAGTCCTGGTCTGGGAGTTTTCTTAGCTGCTAAGTGTTCTGAATTACTTTCAGCATCTTGTGATGCAGATTTTGCTGCATGTCCCAACACACGAAAGTCAGTCACAGGCTATTTTGTCAAACTTGGCTCTTCCTTGATTTCTTGGAAATCTAAGAAGCAGTCCACTATCTCTAGAAGCTCAGCAGAAGCTGAATATCGTAGCTTAGCATCCACAGTTGCAGAGGTTACATGGATTATTGGTTTACTTAAGGAGCTAGGAGTGTATCATAATTCACCTATGCCTATATACAGTGATAGCAAGTCAGCTCTTGCTATTGCTGCTAATCCTGTATTTCATGAACGCACGAAGCACATTGATATTGATTGCCATTTCATTCGTGAAAAGAATTCAACATGGTCTTGTTTCTACTCTCTATTGTCCTACAGCTGAGCAGGAAGCTGATATACTCACAAAGGGACTTGGTCGTATTCAACATTCATATTTGCTGTCCAAGCTAGGTCTACTCAACATCTTTCCTAGTCCTAGCTTGAGGGGGGGTGTAAAGAATATAAGTTAACCTTAGTAGTTAACCTTAGTTAGCTTAACTTAACTATGGTATTAGTTAGTATTAGTGGGGTACAACTGTCGTAAGGTGCAGTGGCGGAGGCAGGATCTCCACGAAGGGGGTTCAACAAAAAAAAATTTGTAGCTAGTGGGAATTGAACCCTTGACCTTATGTAGATTTTGAACCCCCTTGACCACTAAACTACACTTTTGGATTGTGTTAAGGGTGTTCAAAACTTAATATATAGAGGTAAAAAACAGATTTTGCCTTATATATACAGTGTAATTTTTCGGCGAAGGGTGTTCGGATGAACACCCTTGCGCCCCCCTAAATCCGCCCCTGCTAAGGTGGTTAGTTAGTTAAATACACTGTAGCTTCTTCTTCTTTCTAGTTAAATCAGTTGTATCAAAATACAGAGCACTGCTCTTGATTGTTTTTCTCGAAAGTTCTCAATCTTAATTTCTCTCTTCAACTGCACAGTGCTAAATTCTTCAAGCTGGCAGATGACAATGAAAAACTATCACGGGACTCCCGTCCCATCTCCCTAACTATTATTGATAGATCAATGATCAATCAATGGTGAACAGCAGATGCAAGAAGACTCTTGCCTCCTGCTTTTGCACTAGACTCCTCTCGGCTGGGAATTACAACAGCCTTTAAGGCACGAGCAGCAACTTCTTGTATAAAAAATTAGAAGAAGTCGTCAATTCCAACATTTTGAACTACGCAATGCTAGTCTTCTCGTGGCTCCTAAAACCTATGGAGCAAAATTCATTTTAAAAAAAAAA